TGAGCTAATACTCCTTTAAAAGATATTGGAAATTTACCATATTTTCTGCATATACAGTATTCCCCAAAGCTCCAGACATCCACTGGTGTTGGTTTTCTTTTAGCTAATGTCACTGTTAACGCTAAATTTGGTTGAAAAGTCAGGGGGTGAAATTTGTTTTGTTTGGGTGCCTTAAAAGTTTTAAATTTGGTCCAAAAGTGAACGTTTTTTACCAAATAGGCTAATATTACTGGGCAACCTGTACAGATATGTGCAAAATTTGTTGGGCAAAGACACAGATTTTGTCATTTGTATACCACCACAGTGGTTTTAAATCACCCAATCCAGATCTGATTGCATTGCAGAGGTTTTGCATTAACCATTTAGGAAATTCAGCCACTTTTATATGCCGTCCCCAATTTTTCAAAGGCTCAAAGTTATTTGGACAATTGGCTGAAAGGCAGTTTCATGGCCAGGTGAGGTCTGTTATCTTGTTTTTTCACAACAAGTGAACCAGACATAATATCTCAAGTTACAGCTCTTCAAAGTAATTTCAAATATGACGCCAAGAGAGATGTAAGTGCAAGTGAGGGAGGCCATTATTAGGTTGAAAAACTAAGATAAACCTATCAGTGACACAGCAAAAACCTTTTCCAAATCAAAAGTCTGGTTCATTCTTAAAAACAATGGATGCACTGACCAGCGCAGCAACACCAAAAGGCCTGAAAGACAAAGAAGACAACTAAAGTGAATGATAACACGGATGTTAAGAAAAACAACTTCTTGTCTAACGAAATCAAGAATGAACTCAAGGAGGTAATGGTATCATTGTCAAAGTCCACAATCATGAGACACCTTCATGAATGGAAATACAGACGTCTTATAACAAGATCTAAGACCCCTAATTACACAAGTGAATTGTGAAGTGTACACACTATGCTCTCTGCTCAGATTCAACCAAAGTGCAAATGGATAATGACCCAAAGCAATCTGAGAAAGCAACCCAAGAGTTTTTCCTTTACAGGCAAAGGAATTAGAGATTCTTCAATGACGAAGTCGGTGACCTTATTTCAGCCCAACAGAGCTTTTCAGTTATTAAATACAAAAACAGAAAGCCCCACAAACAAGCAGCAGTGGAAGGTGGTTGTAGTAAAAGCCGAGCCATCTCAAGGGAGGAAACGCTGCATTTGGTGATGTCCTTGGGTTTTCGACTCCAAGCAGTTATTGACTGCAAAGCAGTTTCATGAAAGTATTAAAAAAAATCTTTAAAATTACGCTGGTTTGGTTAATAGTTTTTAAAAAATTGATGTAATTCCTAAGCCATTGATTCAAACTTTTTGTTAAACCCCTTGAATTGGAATTTGAAGCTGAAAGTCTGCACTTCAGCCACCTATTGATTAAAACCCACTGCACTGTGCACATAATTGTAAAAAATTATGTCTTTGTCCAACAAATTATGGACCGAACTTCAAGTGTGTATACACATGTAAATGATGTTTTTATTCTCATTGTGTGTTGCATAGTGATGGTATTTGTGTACACCTCTGGAGAGGCTAAACACATTGTTCCAGCATGCTAGAGCAGCACAGTAGGAGCAGGATGAGCGCCGCAGCCTCATAACGAGAAGGTTCCATGTTTGAATCTACAAAACAACAATCGACAAAAAAGGGACATCAATCCATCGATCTGTTCATCAATGGATTGATGTCATCCTGCTGTTCATCCTTTACTTTTTAACCAAATCTTGATGTCGTTCAGACATCTGGCAAAATTGTCTCCCGCCGTCATCCCGCCGTCTTTTGAACAGGTTTTTGCTCGGTGGGATGTCGAAGAAATGAGCTGTCAGTTATGTTTTATGAGAAAAAAGCAGCGTGAATACAAAAGCTGACTCTTGTAAGATTTACAAGCGGCTCCACGGGCAGGACAAGGTGAAATAATTCTCAAGGTCTCTTTTAAGCCTACAATCTAACTTGGTAGTCTTTTTTTTTTTAAGTGTCACAATTCATTAATAGTCCGTTGATACTATAATATTAATATGCCGTTTTATCTCTCTGCTATCTCTCCTGTCAATCGTTTAGCAGGAGACGATCATATCCGGACGGAGGAAATTATAAGGTGCTGGTGGAAATTGTTAATTTTAGGGCAGTAATGAGAAGTTACAGTTTGAGCAGTATGACTGACGTCCCTATTGCTGCTTCAGATTTTATCAACATCAGCTGTCAAGCCTACATGCTAAACGGTTTTATCACGCATTCAGATTTCACAATCGATGGGCTAAATTAATCCTTTTTTTATTTAAAGTTCTGGAACTTTTTGTCTCATGTTTACATCTGTCATTTCTTCCCTCACCGCATTGAAGTCTTTGACTGTTTTGTACTTTGATGCTTTGCTTTTCTTCTTCCTCTGTTTTCTTTTCCTGGTCTGTACTGTCAGTGTTGTTATTGTTGACGCCTAAACGCCAAACTGATGCCTTTAGAAGTTATGTGTGCTAAGGGGAAGGGAAGGTTATCTTGAATTCTTTCTTTTGGGCAAAGATGACGCGATAGAAATGTGTGTTTTGAGATTGAAAATATTTAAATGTTTGTTTTGGTGCAAAAAATAAAGAAAGCATTTGTAGTATGTTTTCATGAAAGTGGCAGGGGGTTTGCATAAAGTCTTGCGACTGCAATTTGAGCCACAGAGAACAATTTGGGGCTTTTATTTTGGTGAAAATCGAGCACCGTTGGCCTCCTCTTTGGTTAGCCTTGAGGCAAAACTGTTCCCATCTGTTTGTCTCTCTGTTATCTTTGCCTCAAGCTTATTGGAAGGTATCAACGCTCTTTTCTGCACACACACACACACCCGAGCACACATGTTCATTCAAACTGTCCAGCCCTCCCCTTTTTTTTTTTTGCACCATCTCCCTTTTCAATGCCTCTTCTTTTGTACTCTGCCAGTTTAGGTTGTTTGTGGCAATGGCACACTGTTGTGCTTTGTGATGAACCCACTTCAGGCGCAGCCGTGCCTCACAAGGGTGCTTCGACTTTCAATAGATATTGACAGGGCCTCTCTTTGAGTCTGTGAAGTCCCGGCCACTTACTGTATCTCCATTTTCTTCTTTCTCGGCACACATCCCCATCCTTGTCTCCCTTCTTTTCATGTCCTCTTTGGATGTCGTCATTTTATTTTTCACTTTTCTCTCTGTGCTTTGATCCTATTTTTTTGTTTTTTAAGCAGTAGTCTCCTGGTGAGTTTTTGTGTTGTCAGACTGCACACAGGGGTCAACAACGATCCCTTCTCTAAAGTGTTTACAGCTCACGCAGTGCAATATTACAGATTCATTCACCTCTATATCATGTTCTTCTTTTAAGTCATTGTTGAGGGATGTGGGATGACATTTTAAGGACTAGTTTCAATTCTAATGCAGTCATCATTTTTTTAAAAATTTGTCTTATAAACCTGTTGTGTTATCTAAACATAATCAAAGATTAAAGGCAGATAAAATGATGGCATCACTATTTTCATCATTCTCGCCATATCAAAGGGACAGTGCAGCAATTTAATGTGCTTTGTAAAGTTGTGGCCACTCCGGCCAACATATCCCAGCTGTGCGGTTAGCTTTAAAATAGAAGTTTAAAATCTTTCATAGAGTTGGTAAGTGCAATTGGACATTTTGGGCAGTCAAGAAAAAAACCCTTTAAAAAGAATTAAAATTACTTCCCTGTTTACCAAAAGATTAATAAAGAATTTGACTCATATTCGCTGGGTTCATTTTGCATGGGCTTAAAATGTTGTTGCATGCTCTGCCCTTAACTGTGGATCAACTATGAGTGGGTTCAACACCTTTTAAGTCACTTTGAACTAGAGTTCAAAACACAGTTCCAGCTGCCTTCTCCTCGATGGCAAAGGCAGCAGGAATTCATGGGCACTGTGGTATTTCAAGTCACACCTAAACAAATAGACTGAACTGTAAAATTTGTGGAGTGTCCCTTTAAATGTAAGATCAATCCTTCTGGGAAGCCTTTATGAGATGAGAAGTTGACAGAAAGTTGAAAAAAGGTATAATTTAAAGCAGGAGAGGGATGGGTGCAGTGCAGTGTGTATAAAATGTGGGTTAAAGATGTAAAAATCAGCAGAAGAAACTTTAGCATAAGTAGTATTTGAAAGAACCACGAGGAGTGCTTGATGTTTCTTGTTGGACTTTTTGACTTTTGAAGCTGTTCCAGCTGTCAGGTAAACCTGGTGGTTCAACTATTCAAAGCGCTTTTTTTCTGATACTTTTTTTGTTCATCTGCTGCCGATGGCAGACGGGACTTTCAGGCCTGTGGGTGTTTTTAAAGATTTCCTGTACCTGTATGTTTTTTTTTCTTTTTGTACATTGAATGTTGAAAATGTTATATCTTATATAGAATGCATTAAATCATATCAAACCTACTTTTTCTATACAATCAATAAATCTGCAGTTAAAAAGATCCTGTGATGATGGTGTGTTTCATGTTTCTTTGAATATTTCCTCTTGATCTCAAACAGTCCAGTTGAACTTCTGCAGACTTTTTTCCTCTTTTCTCTCCTGAGTGCTTCTTCTTCACCCTTCGTAGGTTTTTACACCATTCTGCATTTATTCATTAGTTGTTCTCAGGCTCTATTCTTATACTCTGTTTGACCTGTCTTCCTCCACTCAGCCCCAAACAGTCACGGAAAATGACTGCCCCTCCCTGAGCTTTGCACTGCTGGAGGTTTCCTCCTGTTAAAAGGGAGTTTTCCCTTCCCACTGTCACTTCCCACATATATTGCTCATAATAATATAAATAAAACTGAATTAAATTCTGTCCTCTAGTTAAGTCGACAACACGAAAGCCTTTTCGTCCTCTTGTTGTTTTAGTTTACTGGTTCTTTATCGTTGTTGTTTTTTTTCCAGGAAGCTGCTTGTTTCCCATTGTCAGCAGAAAAGCTCTGCAGGGGCATCGGGCAGGTGTCCTCACAGACAGAAGCACAGTAAATGAGTCACTCGGAGTAAAAAGAAGCAATTCAAAACAGACAAGTTTAATGGGCATGAAAAAGGAGTTTTAATTTGAAGAATCTTTGCACATTTTCTCTGCACACCTGTATGGATTATCAAAAAAGGTATGCAGCATCACATCACATCAGTTCCCTTCATATCAGCCAGTAAATTGAAAGCTGCACTTGTAGGAATTCTTTCATATTTTGTGAAATACAAACACAGCGTCTGCTTATTAATGATATTTAGCTACAATGGATCAATGGCACTGATGCAGGCAGCAGCAGCTCGAGATTATTATGTAATGTCAAAGCAGTAAACACAGAGTTTTAAACTTGAAATCACTTTTGTTTTTTTTCTATGAAATGTCCCTCATGATCAAAGTGAGAAATGATGACAAATTACAGAAGGTAGGCCTGCTGCCTATCAATGTTTCTGTTTAAAAAAAAAAAGACAATATACTTCATGCTACATTTCATTCTGAAAACAGAAAATCATAATTTTCCACTTGGAGAGTGCAAATAATGTAGAAGGTTGTTTGTATCAAAGCTACACCTTTCTTGTGAAAAATGAGCAAAGCTGCGAGTTACAGATTGTTGTTTTTTTTCTGCTCTACAGTGTACATGTACAAATCACATTCTCCTAAATGAACCCCTGCTTTCAAATATTACACTTGTCTACAACTACTGTACAGTCATATGTCAGGCCATACTCTCATACATTATATTTCAATTAGCATGGAAATTGAACTACAATATTTATAGAACAGACACAAAGTTGTTTATTGCTCCGTTCTGCTGTTTCCTAGTCTAAATTGCATCACAGTGATGCATGCATTTTACTGCTGCATCAGCTGGTGACAGGTCAATTATCATTTCTTGTCATCCAATAATTACATTGGCTTTGTTCTGATGCTTGAAATACCTCCTTGGTCCTCCCCAAGGTCTGCAATAGCCCACTCATCTCTCTCTCTCAGAAAAACACCAATCATGATAGGAAGGCCACTACTCAAGGGTCGTTTAATTTACTTGTTCCTGTTAGATTTGTTTCATTAAAGATTCTTCTGTAGTAGTGCAGGTATTGGGAACAAGTGTTGGAGTGTTTGTTGTCCATTCAAAACAACATTACTGGAACCTAATTTTGTGTTTTTGAAGTTCTTATAATTCTCAGCTAGTGTCCTGTCAGTGACAGCTTTAGTGTTGTTTGTTACACTGAAATGTTGGATTAGGTATCCTTGTCCTGTTGCCTAAGGTACAATGCTGTGCAAAAGTCTTGAGCCACATGTCATTCTTTATATTTTGTTTCAAAGTAGGCAGGCTTTATTGTAATTTTTCAAATTGGTCTGAGCAATAGTTCTCCAAACTTTGAGAGGCTTTGCAATTTTTTTTCTTTGGACCGTTTTGGACGGTCTTTGCTGTTTTGATTATTTTTGAAGGGCGGTCTTTTATAAAATAAAATAAAAAACTCAAGAGATGAACCAGTGTAAGAGAGATTAGATAAGAGACAATTTAGCAAATTTAAAATCATATGTTTAGGCACATGATACAAAAAATATCAAAGTTAACACAATCTGAGAGACAGAAAATAGTATTTTTGCACCAACAAGAAGCGAAGGTCCGAAAGAACTTCTAGCAGAAAACTTGTCATATTTTGACATTGTGTGCAGTGTGAACTTAAGGAATTTGAGGAACTGGACAAGTGGAGGAAAAGTGGCAGTCTCAAACAAAAATCTGCAGCATATAAACAGCATCTTAAAGTCCAGCAAAGACCTGACACAGGACCTGAGAGTTGTATGTGGCCTTTCAGCTGATCCATCTGTTATTCACTCCTTGACAGATGCCCTTCCACTGCATAGTACAAACTCTGTTTTTGCCTTTTATTATGTATTTCTATGTGTGTTTGCACAAGTTTAAATAAATCTATGCAGCTATTTCCCATTTTTCTAGCAAAAAGAAAAAGAAAGAACCGGTGGCTTAAGACATTTGCACAGTACTGTACAGTACATTAACATACTGCTTCTTTAAACAACATGTATTTTAAGAAATGTAGACCTCTGACAGTCTACCTACTGACAGAGAATCAGTTTTTCTGGGTGGGCGGCTGGTGAGGTTTACAGTTTCTGAGGCGGGAACAGGTGGCGAGGCGGTTTCCCTCCCAGTAACCAGCATCTTGGCCGTCGTGACAACGACACTTGGTGCAGGAGTCAACCCAGATGGGCTCTCCTGCAGGAATCACTTTACTGCGTGATCCATCAACATAGCAGTTAGGACCTTTGGGGAGAAGAGAAGAACAGGTAATTGGAACTTAACAGATACTACACATAATCAGTCAAATGGATAGCATTGTGTAACTACACTCATCCCTATTTTAAACCAATTTTCAAAAACAAGACAAGACCACACTAGAGTGGGTCTAAATGACAACATTTGAAAACTGTGCTCAAATTATAAAAAAAAAAAAAAAGATAAATGTTCTCTCTGTGATGCTGTCTGTGAGTGTTTTTTTTTAACTTTCTACTTTTATTAAACTGTGTTTTTAACATACCCTCCTTGCATTCAGGGCAGCACTTCCCAGGCTGATAGACAGGGTTGACACATGGTGGAGGCGCACAATCTGCCACAAGACAGCGGGCAATGCCATCACTGTCACAAGTGCACTGCTCACATTCTGATGGCTGGAAAACACACACACCGACACAAACACACGCATACACTGAAACCCAGCAGGGATCATTTCCTAATCTCCTCGTGATGTAAATGCGGGTTAGTCACTCCTAGCAAGCACACGAATTATGTATAATGGTATCCTTTTTAAAGCGTGTACTAATCCTCGTACCAACTCAAAAGGGGGCGCCATTTACCTCCAATTTAATACTGCATAATCATTACATACAAACGGATATCTGGTTTAGGCTTTAGTATTCATCAAAGCTCATCCTCATTTGGTTCTGACACATGCATTCAGAGACAACGATTGGGAACAATGGGGCGAGACCAGAAGACCCAAAGTTTAAACACCAACTGGTGTTCCCTTGTGTTACTAGAATATCTCTATGATATTCAGATTATTTAGATAATAATTACATTTTAGAGCTTCTATTAAGTGTTGTTATTATTAGTGTTCAAGTCATTCTTTCGAATAATGTATTCTTATAATGTTCTTGTACACTGTTATTGCTGTGATGCATTTACAGTACAGTACAGTTACTACAGCTTTGACGTCAAAAAGATTTACTTAAATAATACTATTGACATAAGCGCACTAAGGTGCTTCATTTTAGGATGACGATGCTGACATTTTCACTTGTAGGCCATTTTCTAAATAGTTGCAGCTACTTTGAGCACTATTCTTACAAAACTAAACTATTATCGATGGACGTCTCAACCAATGCACACCTGTAACCCTCTTACATTTTCTTCAAAGCCTGATGATTCACAAACGTATATCAAAGTAAATATAGAAAAAGTGTAAAAAAAAAAAATAGGCCTAAAAAGACAAATTTTTAGACCTTTCCAATAGGTTATGTTTATTTATGTGGCACTGACTTACCTGGAAGTTCTGTCCTAGCTCGTACACCACCCCTCGATACTCGCACCCAATTTTTTCACACCTGGGGCAGCAGTCGGTGGGGTAGTGGCTAACGTGGATACATGCAGCTGGGAGAGAGGTGCATTCAGTGCGGGCACACACGGAGCCCTCAGCGGTGCACTCACATTGAGTGCAGTGATCAGAGTCCAGGAAATACCATTCTCCCATGTAGTAAATGCTGCCATTGGCCTCGCAGGTGCTCTCCTGCTGTCCAGCGACCGAAAAGCCAAAACAAGCCTGCGCGCAAAGTACGAGTGCCAGAAGGACCGTGCGTATCCCGCGCGCTAAGGAAAGGCGCTCTCTCACAAGCTTTTCCATAATCTATCTGATTAATCCAAATGAGTAAAAGTTCGTTAGTGAAGGGAAACTTGCACTGTAGTCCTACTTGGGTTTAGTAGAGCGATCAGCCAAGATTTGAAAAAACAAACAAAACCTTTTCTTCGTTAGATTGTTAAAAACAAAGCCCCCCAAATCCTGAACCTCTCCACAGCGGTCTGCCGGGTCTGCGCACACTTTTGCAAGGCAAGGAGTCCGGAAGGGAGTGGAGGCTGGGAGCATGAGGGGGAAAGTTTCACTGCTCTCATCAGAGTACATGCTTGCCCTTAACGTTACTAAGCTGAAACCTGTCCCTCCCTAGTTTAACACGCACGACTTCAGCCTCCTACAAGAGTTCTTCGTGGCCTTGTGTGATACTTGAAGCCTACTGCGCCTTTAAATTTGCTCTTATTGTCCTTTATCTGTTTAGTCTTGTATTTATTTTTATTTTACAATATACCAAGTTTACCTGGATTTAATTGAGTGCAGTCTCTGTGTTAACGGTTCAGACAAATCTCGCGATATCTCTCCCTAGCAACTCAATTGTTATCCTTAGATACCATAGTCTCGCAAGCTCAACGCCCATCAAACATCGAAAAGGTGAGCCTCTCTTCCTCTTTGGCTACAGTGTTTTTTAAAACACATTTGGTAAGCAGGTTTCACACAGCGTGTTTTGTATCGTTTAGTGTTAAACTTACATCACATCGGTTTAAACGAGCTCCTACTTTCTGCTCCTGTCACTCATTTTCAGTAGTGCGGCTAAAGTTTATTAAGTCAGCAGGCCCGTTTGGTTTGAAACATGGCAGCACCATTTACCAGGAAAGAAAATACTGTGTAGTACTGCTGACGTTAATTACATAACGATTTTTCTTTTCTTTTCTTTTCTTTTTTGGTGTTATTTATGAAAATGAAAACAACAAGCAACAAAAGACTGCAAATATTTGGCCAGAAAGGTGTAGCCTGAAGTTTTAGTTTATTACCCAGTTTGATTCTTCTACTCCATTCCCCTCCTACTTATAAACTACTAGAAATTACTTAAATAGAAGCTTCTAACAAAGTGAAGTAGGCAAAAAGAGCGCAAAAAGCTGCACATCATGTCACGATCTAAAGCAGGGGTGTCCAACTCCAATCCTCAAGAAACAGCTGAGAAACAAAGTCATTGACATCCATCAGCCTGGAACGGGTTACAAAGGAATTTCTAAGGCTTTGGGATTCACGGTGAGAGCATTATTCACAAATGAAGAAAACAATGATAAACCTTCCCAGAAGTGGCCCGTCTACCAAAATTACTCAAAGAGTCTGTCAGTAATTCAAACAAAAGAACCCAGAACAATATCTGGATAACCGCAGGCCTTATTTGCCTCAGTAAACGTCAGAGTTCATGATTCAACAGTAAGAAAACGACTGAGCAAAAATGCTGCTGATGTCTCATCTCACATTTGCAAAAAAACCATCTTGATGATTCCCAAGTGTTTGAGGAAAATGTTCCGTGGACTGACGAGCCTTTTGGAAGGTTTAAGTCCTGTTACATCTGGCGTAAAACTAACACAGCATTTCATAAAGAGAGCGTCATACCAACAGCCAGACATGACGGTGGTAGTATCATGACTGCGGCTGCTTTGCTGCTTCAGGAGCTGGACGACTTGCTATAAATGATGGAACCATGAATTCTGCATTCTACCAGAAAGTCCATGTTGACCATCAGTTTGTTATGCAGCAGGACAAAGTGTTGTAGTCAATACCTGGACCATATATATGTATAAATAAATTTATTATATACATTGGTTACTTGGAACATTTAAATATGGGGGGTATAAAAGAAATCAGGAAGGGGGCAAATACCTTTTCACACCAGTGTATATTGTTATGTTCCACAATAATTTGTATTCTTCACTCTTAGATTGCCATTCACATGCAGTCACCTGATGAAAGCCAGGTCTGGGGCCCTGGCCAGTCCCTATGGGGCCTGATCGCTGAACATATTTCTGAGTCAGAGCTGCCAAAGATCTACACCGCACTGGGCCATTCCTTGGTAGATGTGTACATGGACATGCACACTGAGGTGAGGGAAGTTTTATAACTCCAGTGTTTGATGTCTTCTGTCTGCATACAGTACCACAACACCTGGTTTGTAAGTTGAAAGGTCCCTCTTCACAGTCAGCAGATTGTTTCATCATTCATATGGTTTTATTTCTTTGAGGAATTCATGCTGGGTCTGTTTCTAGCAGGATTTAACAAAAGTACTACCACAACTTCTGCAAGAATTTCCTTTTGGGCAGAAGCAAATCAAAACATTGCTCAGCTAAGCATTCCTAGCCAAACAATTTAAGGACTCTGGTTTAAGGCTGTGTAAGTAGGTTAGTTTTGCTGCATATATTCATTACTTACAATTCCCAGACTCCATAATAAAAGTGAAATGTGGGTTAGCTGGCACGGCGCCACAATGAGATCCAAATGTGAGCCAGACAGACTTCAATATTTATTCCAGAGCAGCTAAACTCTCAGACCTACAGGGACTTGAAATGGCTCACAACTCATTAAACAAGCACATTTAAAATCAAGACTGAGGTGAAAATGTTCATTAAAAGAGGAAAAGTTTTGAGAAGAGTCAAAGTGAAACATGTCAGGGAAGAAACTGTGACTTCCTGATACTCATTAATAAAAAACTGTGAAGAACTGAGAAATGTAATTATATATTCATTCAAATTGAAATATCTTATTCCAGCTTTCATACTGTGGCTTGATGTGATACAACCACTGAACCAAAGCTGTGGTAAAACATATTTCTATTGTCTGTCCTTTTTTCTTTCTCAAATAATGAATTCTTAAAAAGCATTTTTTTCTAATAAGTGCATCTGGCTCTGTGGGCATTTTTGCCTCAGACATGTAGACCCCTGATTAGAGACAGCAGTGCACTCCGTGAGATGGATAAAACCTGTGTCAAATCAACTCGTGGATCCATCCACTGTGGCGACGCTTGGGAAATAAGGGATCAGTCAAATGTACCTTCCAAAAAAAAGTGCAAAGTCAGGGCATCATATGTTTTCTTTTTCCATAAAAAGCAACCAAACACCTCAGTAAAGAAAAATAAAGAACTGTAAAAGATAATTTCTAATGAATCTATGATCAGCTGACTAAAGAAATAAGTGAAAGCTGAAACACTCAAATGACAGACCTCAGACAGACAGTTGTGCTTCTGCACTTAAGATCAAGTTTGTAGGCTTTCTTTTCACCACCTTCTGAGGAACAGAAATTTCTCGTGCTTGGCTGTTTATTGTCTGGACTCCTCCAGTTTCTGAGGTGTAACTGAGCAAGACAGTGAAGCCAAACACCTTACAGTGGCAGCATTTGGTGTGTGTTAATGAATGAATTAGAAACACTGCAAATGCTTTGTAGAGCCTCTGAGGTTAAAAGCCACTACTAAATGCAGACCATTCACTCTTTACCAGCTTCTTTCTTCTGCTTGTTTAGTACTAAAATCTTTCCATGTGTTGGTCAGCCCTCCTTTCCATGCCGTGCCCCAATGGTTCAGTCACTGCTCACACAAAAAAAAGAAAAGGAAACCACCTGGATGTGCTTTAACTCGGCTCTAGAGGCCTGCCATGTAGATTCTTACCACATATAATATTTGTAGCAGTTTCTATGTGAAATCCACACGACAACTGTACGGCATGCAGGTACTCCTTCTCACTACTGCAAGATAATTCAGCATATGCACAACCCCGCACACACTATATACACACAGAAAGAAGCTCAGTAAGCTGAGTCACTCAGGGGGTCGGTATAACAGGGTTAAAGAGGCTAATCCTCAACTGTTGATAAGACTGTTAGCTACATATAATTTGACTCGACTGTGTGTATGTGTGCGTCAGCTTTGATTGTGCGCCTGTACCCTTGCACGTGTATGTGTGTGTGACTTTGAGTATTGCTCTGACATTTCTTCATCTACAGTTCAGTGTGTCTGACTGTAAAGCCTCCAGGTGGAATAACAGACTTGAGGCTAAAAGCTCTGAGAATTATTCAGGAAAAATAGAGCAGAGAGGGCCTTATCTGACTGTCACACAAGTACATTCAGGTTTTGATTCAGTCTTTACATTTACTTTAGGATGGATCACTTTCATTTTTCTCTCCACGGCTCTCTGTATGTCTTTTCTTTCTCTTTTCTGTCTATGTTTCTCTTGCAGCCACATAATGACTTCCATTCCTCAGTGAGCCACTGTGAAAAGTAATAGCAGATCTGCAGGTGTCTCCTCCATTCCTCAGCGCTGCCATTCCTCTCTCCATCAAGGCCCTCATTGTCTAAGGCGGCAGGATCAGAGAAAATATTAGACTCTCCCTATAAGGCCCGATCTCTCCCTGAACTCTCACTTTCACTCTGTCTTTCTCTCTTTCATCCCCAAAGTTAAATATTTTCAAAAACCCAATTTAAGTAGTTCAGCAAAACTGAAACGTTTCACCGGTGTTCCCTTGAAATAGCATTTGGATGAGATTGGCTTACTGCTGAGGAAAAAGGGAAAAACATCCAGGAACAACTCATTAGCCAGTGAGCCATGAATCCTTTAATATAAACACCTCAACGCCTAAAGGCACATGGCGGAAGTTAGTGTGTTTGTATGTGTTCACCATGATAGGGTGTAAATGCTGGCGTTACGAGAGGATGTGCACACACACACATACACATGCAAAGACCAGAAGTGCTATGTTTAATATCCTTCTTTTGAAGTAAAGTCTTTGCATCATGACATAAATGATTGGCAAGCAACAGGTGTCGAGGTGCTAATGGGATCCAGACTTCACTGAGGCATGAGCATTCACACGCGCTACAAAGAATAAAAAGGTTCTTGGCCTCAAAATGAACAGAGGTGTTTGTCTAATTTTCAGCCCAAGACATATAGTAGCCAGTGTGGTGTGAAAGCATGCTAACGGTGTATGTCGTTTTCAGATTTATATCGATTTTCTTTCTCCTTTGTCCCTGTGGATGTAGAAGTTGTATTTCTTCCTGTTCCAAGAAGACTGTCAACTGTGCACAACAGTTTACAGTAAACAAGCTCTTCTTGCATCAGTGACAGCCAAGAAAATGTCTGCTCCTTGTAGTATTTAGTATTTGCACTGTCAGTGGAAATATTTATCTGTCCCTCAGTTTAACAGATTCTTTTTTCAGTGTAGAACTTCTGAGTCACTGTGAGGGAAACTACTTGTATCCTTACATTGAGTAAATACTAGTAGATTACCTTTAAAGTAACTAGCAGGATATTTTTTGTATTTGTTAACCACTGCT